GCCTTTCACATGATGTATTCTGCATATAAGTTAAATAAGTAGGGGGACAATATACAGCCTTGTCGTACTCCTTTCCCAATTTTGAACCAATCAGTTCTTCCATATCCAGTTCTAACTCTTGGTTTCTGTCCCACGTACAGATTTCTCAGGAGATAGATAAGTTGGTTATTTCTTTAAGGACTTGCCATAGTTTGCTGTGGTCCACACAATCAAAGGCTTTTTACATAGCCCCACTCTTTTGTTGACTACGAGTGCTACTCCATTTCTTCTACAGGATTCTTGCCCACAATAGTAGATATGATAATCATCTGAATTGAATTCGCCCATTCCCATCCATTTTAATTCACTGATGCCCAAGATGTCAATGTTTATTCTTGCTATCTCCTGTTTGACCACATCCAGCTTACCAAGGTTCTTACATTCCAGCTTACTATGCAGTATTTTTCTTTGCATCAGCGGACTTTCCTTTCACTTCCAGGCACGTCCGCAGGTTGAGTGTGGCTTTGGCCCAACCACTTCATTAGCTCTGGAGCTACTAGTCCTTGTCCTCCACTCTTCCTCAGTAGCATGTTGGATGCCTTTCAACCTGAGGGGCTCATCTTCCAGCATCATATATTTTAGCCTTTTGTTTCTGTCCATTGAGTTTTCTTGGGAAAGATACTGGAGTGGCTTGCCAGTTCCTGCTCCCGGGGGATCACGTTTAGTCAAAACTCTTCACTATGACCTGTCCATCTTGGGTATCCCTGCACAGCATAGCCCACAGCTTCTCTGAATTACTCAAGCCCCGTCGCCACAAGGCAGCAATCCGTGAAGAGGATTAATTAATTAACCTTAGCAATGGCATATAAAGAAAATTTATACAAAATGTTTTACAGATGGCATTTACCTTCAATTAGAATAGCAAAAATGTTCCCAAATGTTTCCGATAGGTGTTGGAAATGTAAAAAACATGAGGGAACATATCATGTATGGTGGACCTGTGAAAAAGCAAAAAAATATTGGGATAAAATACACTCTTGGATAAAAAAAATTATAAGACTGAATATAGAACTCTAACCAGAGTTGTTTTTATTGGGTATTATGCCAGGGAGTATTAACAAACAAGATAGCTATATTATATTACATATATTGACGGCGGCTAGAATAGTGCGGGCTCAATACTGGAAAAATGAGAAATCTCCATTAGAAGAAATAATTATACAAAAAAAATCTTAGATTGTGCAGAGATGGATAGATTGACAATGACAATTAAAGGGAAAGAGGATTCAGAATATCATCAAAACTGGAATAAAATGTATGAGTGGCTAGAGCAAAGAAATAAGGTATAGAGACATATGAGACATGATATGATACGAACACATTGATATCCAGTGAACATGATGAATGACAATGGAAATATGTTTTTATGTGTTATAAAAAATAAATTAAAAGAAGGAGAAAAGAATAGTCACCTTGATATTAAGACAACAGTAAGTGAAGCCTCTTTCTAACACAAGGATCCATACCAGTCTATCTTGAAATCGGCACAAGTAGTGAGACCCAGGTGAACAGAGACCTTAAAAAGAATGACCAAAAACAGAGATTCATTTTTGCTTCCATGTTTTATTTCAGGGACCACCGTTTATATTATCCTAGTAAGGAAGAAGACAATTATTGTAAAAGAAACACTGATTTAAAAACACCCGACTATCCTAAAATCATGTATTGCAAAAGAGGAAAACTCAGTTCACCTTACACCTATCCACAAAACAAGGCTTAAAAAGGGCAAAGCAGCACAGGAAGATTGTTTGGCACTGAAGAAAATGTAAAATGTTGGCAGTTGTGGAGGGAGCTTATGTCCTGGTCCAAATGGCAAGTCCCCCCAATATTGCAGATGCAAATGTTATGTACACTTACTATAAAAAAAGGATACTAGATGCTGGTACTGCTTCAAAGTAGTGCAATTTTTAGTTTTTCTGGTTAGAATCTCAAAAGAAAAGTGGTGGTGATTTTTTGCAACACAAGGACATAAATTTCCTGAACTATTTTCATCAGAGTGGTGAAAAATGGATTATAATGATTGTAGGCCACTGTTGCCACACACACAAAAAGGAATGTATGCAGGTTCTTGTACCCTCAGCATGAATTAGAGAGAGAGAAAAGATTTGTTTTGCTCTGTCATTAATTGCAACTATGCAGTTAGGAGGAACTCCTGTCTTGTGATTGGCTGTAGCACATCTATTTTAAATCAGCCCTTCTTGGGATACCTGTAGAGGCTCCAGGCATATCACTGTAACTGCATAGTGTGTCGCTGCATTATAAGCATTGCTTATTAGTAAATCTTCAGCTGTGCCAAAATTACCTTAACTGGCACAATCGAAACTTTCAGAGCTTCAGAAAAAATGTTGAGTGCAATCCAAATAACCCACCATTATATTGGTTAAAATTTAAAACAACTTTTTCTATCCTGCTGAGCTAATAGAGTGCATTCTCTTGCTAACATTTTTGTAAAGATTTTCTTAATTATGCTTAGCTGACCTTAAAACACAAAGTGATATCCTGCCAGGAAATGTTTAGTCAAAGCTTCTCCCATTAAAGAATATGTAATTCCCCCACCCCCAAAAATTAATTTTTAAATCCTTTAAATCCCCAAGGCATACATGCACTAGTACTGCACTTTTCAGTGCATGCCTGCATTTCACTTATCAGGTGCCTAGCATAACTCTCACTTCTTTATTTCTCATTAAAGAACCAACGCCATCAGCTAGGCAGTGCAAGCTGCTCTCTTATCACAGAGACCAGTTATACCAAAGTATCATTCCGCCATTTGGGGATACAGTGGGGTCTCGACTTACGAACGACCCTACTTGCGAACAATTCAACTTACGAACCCGCCCAATAGGGGAAATAAGGTCTCAACATACGAACTTCCCTCGAGTTACGAACAGGAAAAAAAGTGCCCCCTCCCTCCCCTTAGAGGCTTCTGGAGGGGGGGGAAGGGTCAGAAACTTTAAAATAAATAAAAGAAAGTCACTTACCAAGCCTTGGTAGCCCCCAAACAGCAGGAAAAAGAGCAGGAAACAGCTAAAAGCCCACACCAGAAGGGAGCCTGGCAGCCATTTTGTGCTTTCCCCCCCTCCTGCACCCTCCTCTCCCCGCCTATCAGCTGATCGGCTAGCTCTGAAGAGGCTTGGGAAGGCTTCCTCAGCACCTAAAAAGCCTGCCTGTGTGTCTTTGTGCTGAAAAAAGCCGACACCCAGAAAGAGCCTGGCAGCCATTTTGTGGTTTTCCCCGCTCCTCTCCCCGCCTAACAGCTGATCGGCTGGCTCTGAGCAGGCTTCCAGAGGCTTGCTCAGCACCTAAAAAGCCTGCCTGGGTGCCTTTGTGCTGAAAAAATCGGCACAACATGCTTTAAAACATGATTTAAAATTGGCTTTGTTGAAAAAAAAGATTTCAAAAGTGCTTTGCAAACTGTTCCCTGCCTTCCTCCTCGTTTTCTGAACCTAAGGGGGAAAAAGAAAAAATATATCCCCCTCTAGTGGCAGAAGGTGAAATAGCAGCTTCCCATTAGTTTCTATGGACGGAAAAGAGCAGATACAGATTAAATGGTTTTCAATGCATTCCTATGGGAAATGCAGATTCGACCTACGAACTTTTCGAGCTAAGAACCACCTTCCAATACGGATTAAGTTCGTAAGTCGAGACCCCACTGTCATTACAGAGGAAGGTCTCACAAGAGCCTAAGAACAAGCCTCCAGGTTCTCTGTACTTCATTGGTGTTTTTTTTTCTACTATGACTTTGAAGAACAGCAAAGAAAAGTGGCATGTTCTAACCCTGCCAGCTCAGAAGCCTCAGATGCTGCTGCCAGCTAGATTTCTTGATGTACAGTGGCTTAATTCATTGGTTCTTGTATAAAGTAGTCCTATAAGACAATTCGCAGGAACCAAAATGGACCAAAGTCATCACAGTCAATCATGCAGTAAGGGTAATGTTCACATTCAGTAAGTGAGAAAAGCTGTTTGTTAGTTCAAACTTCTTTTTAAAGTCTACTTACCCAGGCTACCAATGGACATTGCTGACTGCAATGCAGTAATCAAGCCTGGAACCATTTGCTGATAATATACAGTATCAGGACATACACAGGCTGTCACACCCACTGGTCCTGGCCAGCTTCGGATAGGTCTTGGAAAGCCAATCAAAAATACTGGGAGGCTGAAAAGAGGCAGCAAGGGCGAAGACAGCAGTGCTGCCAGCACTACAAAGGCCAGCACAATTGGGAAGAAGACAACATTTAACATAATTAGGGTCGCTGCAGATTTCCGACGTTGCTTTTTCTCTGTCCATGACGTCAGGAGAACAATGAAAGCAAACCACAGTTTTGAAACAAACTGAAACAGTCGATTCCGTATTATTCCAACCTAGTGGGACAGAAATTGGAAGTATTTTTTCTCAGATTATATGATATTTTACATGCATTTCATTTAGCTGAAGTTTTTGGAACATCCATACATAGATGCTACTGATCCTGTATCTAGGTTTGGATAGGGTCAACACAGGATTTCTAACTCCTGTGCCAAAGTACAAGTTGATATAGGCAGGAATGTGGAAGGTAACAGATAGCAATCACATGCTGTATAATATTCTGTTAGATATGGACAGCAATATAGGACTGCCTCTGAAATTCAGAAGCTTCAGTTGATCCAAATGCAGCGGCAAAGTTACCTGAAGTAGAAAAATTGGATCATATACTATCTGTTCTAGTTACCTATGCCTGTCTGTCTGGTGTCAATTTAAACCAATACTTCTGATGTTTAAAACTCTTAAGCACATTGGATGAAACAATCCCACTCTTAAAAATCTCCACAAGTTTCAAGATCATCTCATAAAGCCCTGACTTGCACCCTCTCATCAAACAACAGACAGATATTTTAAGTGAAGTGGTCACACTGAAATAGTGAAAATGTTCTACCTCAAGAACTTCAGTTCATCCAATTGTTTAACTTTCAGCAGTCAGACAAGACTTTTCTAGTGGAGGTTTTCAGATATGGCCTTCTAAAAATATGACCCCTGCTGTTTTTAAACTGGCTCTAATCTGCAGCTCCTGAAGTCTTTCTTGACAATTTCTGATATAACTGTATATAAATTCTCAATCCTATATAGCTGTTTTATCACCCCCTGATACATTTTCTATAGAAAGGCAAAGCAGAAATCCTAAACATTAAGTACTATTTAAAAATCAGATTTACCAGTAGAAGTCTGATTCCAGTATCAATGCTTCGGTTCCACCAAAAATCAGTGTTGAAAAGCAACAATTGCACTACAGACACCAGAACCATATCCAAAAGAGCACGCTCTGTGTCCTGCCACACCTAGAACAGAGATTCATTGACTGATTGTGATAATTTGCTTTTAATCTAACCTAAAGATTTTAAAAATACGGAGTGATACCCACCCCTCAACTATTCTGGGCAAAAGAAAACAACTAGAATGTCAACCAATAATTCATGCAAACTACTCTCCAATCATATTTATAAAGACACAAAGTGTAAAGCATGCTTTATTGTCCCTAAAAAGCCAAGCCCTAAGTGACTATCTCTTTTTAATAGTTTGTTCATTAATTCACTCAGTCATATACTACTCTATTAGTGCAAGCACTATATTGGACAGTTTACACAAAATTAAAATTTGTTCTTAAAATTTTCTGGCCTCTTCTCTATTCACATCCTATGTCCTGCATAATAATTATTCCACCCCTGTAGAAGTAATGCCCTGCAATAAGAGAGTCAAGTCAACCACTTTTATTTTGAGTATGACTTCCTCTGCTACCAACAATCAGGTTTTCAGCTAAACCTGGATTTTTCTTAGCAAGGCTTCCAGGAAAGGGAAAGAAGCAAATGGGAATAAGGGTGCAGCCCAGGAAAGGAAATTACATTCACAAAAGCAAAGGAATAGCATCCCTGACTGGTAAGGAGACAAAATACCACAACCCTAGAAGCTGCTACGTTTATTTTTGATTTTTCAGAGTCTGTACTCCCCATAATTCCCCCAAGGTTTCAACAGCAGAGCCACAAAGAACAAGAAATATATTGGCGGGGGGGGGGAGGAAACATAGCAAAAAATTCAAGCCCAGCAAATTGAATTTTCTCCCAGATAATTCAACACAAGCATGGCAACATCACAACAGAGAATACATGTAGGCTTGCATACACTGTGCTGCAGCATCGTAACCCTCTTAGCCCTGTGGACTGAACCTTGACTATGAGAAAACATGCACCAACTATATCTGCTTGCCAAAGGATCAAAGAACTTCAAATGAACTGTTTCATTAATTCTCTTGCTAACAATGTTAACTTATAACAGGCTATTTTTTATTTATACAGTAATGTCTGAGGCAGAAGATGATGCCTTGTCCAAAGCCAATCAATGACTGGCAGTGATTTTATTGGTTCCTCAAAAGCTTTACTTAAAAAAGGCTACCCAAGAAAGACTGGCTACAAATGACTAAATGCAAATGAGTAAACATATTGATTCGTTCCTTCACCTCCATTATGAAATCACACTCCCTACAACTCAGTTGCATAGGTTTATAATAAAGAATATCTTCCTTCCTTGGCTGGAAAATGTAGCTGACACACACCGGTTTGTTATTCTAACTTCCTTAACTTAAAATGTGTTCACTGTATGTTATCATATTATTTTTTACAAAACACTGAAATTTACCATTCTAAAGCTTCGTGAGAATCCAATGCAAATATATATGGATGGGAGATGATGCAGAGAATTGTCTAAGGAAAGATATGCTATCATTGCAAATGGAGACACTGAAATAACAAGAAAAAGAAAAACATAGCAAAGTTTTCTTACTAAAAATATATACATGCAATCCTCAGTTCTATTAAAGCGCTACAGCGTCGAAGTTCAGAACCAGGACTCTCCATTCAGGATTTAGGGAGTATATTTTGTCTGTTCAGGATTTTCTGGGAAGCCATGAAGAAGGTGCAAGGTGATGTTCTATCAACCCAACAGATCTCTCTCTCACATACACACACACACTCATTCGTTCGTTCGTTCGTGTGTGTGTGTGTGACTCGTTCGTGTGTGTGTGCGTGCGTGTGCGTGTGCGCGTGCGCGTGTGCGTGTGTGTGTGTGTGTGTGTGGTAGAGAGAGAAAGAGGACAAGACAGATATTATATAAAAATATTCAATTTTTTTTTATTTTGCACAGGAGTCATAAGGACCCCAAGCAGCCTATGACCTCCAAAGGAATATGGGGGCAAGGGAAAAGATTCCTAATTTAATTTAATGTCCTAAATCTTATCAGAGACTCAGAATGGCCTGGCTACAACAAAATGCCATGGGAAAGGAGGTTAAGTCATCAAAATGGGCCAGAAAAGGACATGGCATCAATGAAAATTAAAACTATCTAACCTGAAAACATATCGGAAACGTTATAAGCATCAACACCAGTCATGTGCACAGTTCAGGCCACAGCACTTTCAAGCTGCAGAGTCTTCTTCCCAAACTTAAGACAGAAAGACATGTTGAGAAAAAGCACCTGAGAACTGGCTCTCCCTTACATTCTCCCTTATTGGCTGCTAAGCGTTTCACCTAAAACAAAGGGGGAATGCATGCTGAGCATGCAGAAGGTGAACAATATACCACTCAACAATACACCACTCTCTACGTAAAAATCTACAGGGCACACCACAAAGATCTTTTCTTTCCAATACATATAGGGATATGAGAACATGATCAAGGAAAATACCTGTGATTTATAAATCATGCCCTGGGTACACGAGAAAAAAATGATTTTTTTAAAAAACTAGATCATACTTGTGATGAAGTAACACAAAATGTTACTATTAATTTTATTAACCCCTATACTCAGAGAATGGAAGGGCAAATGTCCACATTAAGCCCCATCAGATCCTTTCCAAAGATCCTGTCCCAGGACACGGGATATTGATGACTGGATAGGCTCTTCTTCCAAGAGGCGCCTCAAGTAATGGAATATGTTTCGAGAAGTCCTGGAAAATACATTTTTGTCACCAAGTGAAATTCATTTTATGTTCCAATGTATTTAAGGAATGGTTTTCCTTCCATTGTTGTTGTTCTGCTGCTTTTCTAGCTGCACCTTATATTTATTTATTTATATTTATTTATTTATTGGACTTATATACCGCCCCATAGCGCTACAAGCACTCTCCGGGCGGTTTACAATTTTAATTATAAAGGCTACACATTGCCCCCCCAGCAAGCTG